TAGCAAAGGCTTGACCATGAGACTTACTTAGAGGCTTTATCTTCGAATTAATAACCCATACGCAGGGAAGGTGTAATAATGTTTCGATTTGCACAGATGTGGCGGCAGGGGTCGAAATAAATGCTTGAACCAGGGAGATAGCAGACGGATTATACAGGGCAAGGAGGAGATTGTGATAAGACCTAATGAAGGAGGACTGCGTAACAATATGATAGACTCTGATCGACATTCCTAGCACACTCCAGCATCGAGTGATGAGGGTTCTTATAAATGCCGCTTAAAAGGCTACACCATAGTGTATATAAATAAGCATGGTAAAAATTGAAACGCTGAAGGAGTGATACGAGGATATAGGAAATGTGAATAGTCCAGGGCAGAAGGAAAGATAGCGCAACTGTTTAGCACACATTTGATCAAAGTATTGGCTTCACTTATCTCTTACGAGTTGTGGGGTGCTAAGAATGGTAAAACTCACTGACGATGCCGGCGAAACGTCTGCGGATGTACCAGGTCCACGGTCCGACCTTGGAAATTATCATGCATATAATGGACTCTGGACTAGTGCGTTCCTTTAAGTCTTCCTATTAATATGACCAAGTTGCGAAAACAGGGTCAAACAACTTTTATAATGAATATTGTTCTGATTAGCTAAGAACTCATCGTTTTATCTGTCAAACTATCGAGACTCATTTGTTTCATATCCTAATGTTAACTAAGTTAGTAATTATCTTATCGCTCGGTTTTGGTTTTCTGATCACTTTACTACCTTATTGGAGATATGGAAATTTACCTGACCTCGGGTTCTAAGTACTCAACAGCGCTCTGACCTCTAGTGATCACTCATTAGTTGACTGAATACCGGACCTTATTCGATTTCCTTTGGATGTACAGTTTTTGCGTTATTTACTCATTAAATTGTGTAATTTATAAGGGAATGGTGAACAAGTCCATGCATTCACCTAATTCTACTTCCTTCTAAGCTTGGATAACTCTTTCGAAAACGAGGTTTACTATTAACTGCAGGATTTCCCTCAACCGACTTTGCCTTGTGTTTGTGTGTGTGTTCATGGGAAGGAAAGGACTTGGTCTCGCTTTTCTAATCTGGTTGTGCTCACAATTGGATTCTGAAGGACTTTTACTTTCCCCTTTTTCTGCTAATGTCATCATAATGTTGGCCAGGCACATTCGTTTTTTTCTTCGTCATTATTAAAGGACATCATGTATAAAAGCAAAATTCCCGTAGTAAATGAAGCTATCCAATTATTAATGAGCCCCATCTATTATCCTTCCCCTAAGGAGAGCCATTTTGGACGTACGTGAAGTTCTTTCTGAACGAGAAATTCTGCTGGCGAGAATGAATTCGAAAGCGCTCCAACAAAATTTTTAGAATTTGAATTGCTGTGTACCCTTAAACATTTTCTAAACTCTTCTGAAAAGGAACCGTTCATCTTCATCTATTTGCATTTCCCATTTCCATTCTTTGTATTTTAGGTGATTTATGACGACTTGACCTTAATCCACTTGGTTCGCCACAGTTGAACCTTCTGATCCTATGGCTGCTTTTATATTTGATTCATGTAATGGGCTTTCTAATGCTATTTTCTACCAATATTTAGGCCGGGCTACTTCAATGAAATTCTTCTTTATGGAATTCTAGAATTATTATATTTTATATAATTTATAATAATTCTTCTTCCTACAATAGTATATTGGTGGTTACTCCTATCTGCTGCATCTGTGTTTATATCTAAATGCAATGCCATTTATTTCATTGCCTTTATGGCTATAGTGGTTCACTTAATTTTGTTTAGATTTTCGTTTGGTTGATTCAACAGCACATGGCGGAAAATTCAATAATCAGTCCTTACTTAATGAGACCTAGGATGACTCAAGCTTTACAGATAGTTTAAAACCTACTTTATATGATTATTAATTGTTGGGGTGGCTTTCATTTCGTACGAAAGTGCATGAAGAAGAGATTCGTAGGTCAATCTCACTAGAAGAGGACGGGTGAATTCCGTTGTACTGCAGTCGTTTGGCTTTCATACAACGTTCACATTGCCGCAGTCTTCAAGACCTTCCTCGTTTCGGATGAAAACTGGAAAACAATATTATCTCAGGAACCGAGTTACTTTTCGTATCTGATGATTAGTTGCCTATAAATGGCTCGTATTCTATCGCATCTTTGTCGGGGTGATAGAGAGGCTTTGAGGAACGTACCCTGTCCTCCATCTTTTGTCATAATAGTCACGATACTTTAGAGCCTCAGATCGTTGGCTTGATTCATTTCCAAACGTTTCGTTGACATCGTCAGTGAGAAACGCCACTCAGCACAGAGATCTTTTATTCATAACTTTCTTTCCCCCGTCTTACCACCTTTGTTTTTGGCTTAGATACATCAGTCTTCCTCTAGTCCTACAGAGGGAGGTATTTTGATCTTCTTGACTGGGGAAGAAGAAATCCATCGTTGTTGTCTGTTGATTCGCAAAATGGCTCGCCTAGCCGGATGTCCCCCAGCTTCGGAGCTTTTTGATTCAAATACCAGCCAGTTTTCTGCAAAGCGCGCTGGACTAATCATCGAGGCTGCATATGTTGGGGACCAGAAGGAAAATTTGCTACTACGACATAGTGGGATGCACAATGACAAAAAAACTGGACACCAACTGGCCCCCCTCGTCATTTTTCCTCTCTATTCTGCGTTGCCGAAGGCACGCCAGCAAACAGTTTTGAGATTTGATAACCCTGTAAGTCAAATTGAATATCTTAATTAATTAACAGTTTCCATTTGAACAGACCTTAATATCGCAGCAACCATTTGTATTACTATTAGGTAATAACATCAATGTGATCTAAATTTCATACTGCTCAACAATTCACTCGAAAAGCACTGTATTTATTGATTGAGATTCTTCTTAGGGAGGGCTGGACACTATAGATTGATTATCATTGCTAATCGGATTTGATCATGTTTCGTAGTAAGAATCGTTCATACACCCGTTCACTCACTCAAGTAGTGAGAATTATTTTACTCCTTTCGACCTGTCTGCACGCCTACGCTTAAGTTAGTAAAGAATATACTATTGAGCAATGGCAGAAAATCTATGCTTATAGTGAGATGGTAGTTTTGGAGAGCTGAGGTAATAGGTATTTGGGATATATGCAATCAGATTGAGGAATCGCTCGCTACGCAAATACTAGGTTTGGCCTTGCCTTTCTAATGGGATAAATTCTCCTCACGCACCTACTAATTTCATTTTCATTTATTGGTGTATTAAAATGCATCATAGCTGAGCCGAATCCTCGCTATAAGCAAGCTGGAAGCTTACGTGGATAGAAACCAGTCTTCGAAGAATTCCTGAATGCTTTATTGTGACATGACTTTTCATTTTGTAAGAAAACTTTATTGAAAGAAGTTTGCATTGTTATCACTGTTCATAGAAATAAGATTGCCTCAGAGTGAAGACTTTTGGAT